TATATATTTTCTATATAAATTCCATTTCGTTTTTGGGGGGCGGGGGGGTCTTGGCGGTGGACTTAGGGGTCATCCATTTATGACGTCCACACGGGGGGGGGGGGGGGGGGGGGTGTCCGAAAAAAAATTGACTTTGCGGACGCGTGTGGACTTTTAATAGGGGATTAAGTGGACTTTTGTGGACGGGGGAGGGGGTCCAAAATCCCAAAAATGTGTGGACGTCATAAATGGATGACCCCTTACTTCTTGATCCTTACATACTTTTAAAATTTTATAGTAATATTTGTCGATTCCAATAAAATATAGATCTAGATCTAGGCCAACAGAAAAATGTTTACAAAATCGCGAGTAAACGAAAAATAAGTTTTTGTTTTATGTCATACAAAATCTCACCCGAAAGTAACCAACAAATAACATTTTATTTAAGTAGGTTTTACCTTCGAGTAAACAAAAGTAATGAGAGGTCTATTTTTTTAGGTCATGTGACACCTACCTTCAACAAAATGGCGTTCATAACTGTGGCACTTCCGCTGGTTTGACTAAGTTATTTTTGTTTGAAAAGAGCTTCAAATATCGTTTTTTTTTTCCCCATATGTACTCTAATGGGAAAAGTTGTTTTTCTGGCTTGGATTGTGTTAGTTAATTTATAAACTGGTAATTTGCTTGCACTTTCCGCGGGTAAAATTACAACTTATTAGAACTTAATTATGATATTACTTCTTGGACATTTTTTTTTAAAGGATGAGAAGTGTCAGACAGATATTTTTTTTGTTTTGAAAATTTATTATGCTTGATTTTCAAAATGCTTTTAATTAAATTGTGATAAAAACAATTTTGTGTGCGCAAAATTCTCCAAATTATTGTGTTAATTAATTGACAGTTGTAAGTTTTCATTTGTTTGGTAAAAAAAAGCTGCTGTTTCTTTTAATTAAATTTCCAATAAAAAGCACAATCAATGCCCTTCAATGCCTCTTTAAAGACACACCAACTCCATCCATAGTGCCTACGTGATGCCCCTTTAATGCCCTCTATATACAGCACTACCAGAAGCCCATTTCATGCCCTCTATACAGCAATAACAGAAGCCTATTTTAATGCCCTCTACAACACTTTAATGCACTATATAAAACAATAAAATTCTGCCCTTTAATGCCCTTTATGGCACTATAATGACTTCTATAAAGTATTGTCTGATGCCCCTTTTCGTGCCCCCTGTAAGGCACCCCCCATGCCCCACCACTGAGAGAGTTAGGCGTCTAACTACGTCACTTCCTGTGTGATCAACAAGGCATTGATTCGTGGTCGCCCTCAGGTCAACATGACCTAATCCAGGGATGATTGGCGTGACACACGTTCTGGTCGTGACGGCCAGTGCCACTAACACGATTAGTGCCACTAACACGATTAGTGCCACTAACACCTTGAGAGCTGTCAGGTTTGGTTTACTTAGCTGCAGTAGTCCAGTTTGTTCCGTGGGGGGGGGGGGGGGGGGGGAAGAGGAAATGTGGGGGGGGGGCGTGGGAGAGAATGAGAGAGTTAAACATGTACTTGGACGTACGTGCTTAACTTAATTTTGTTTAAAAGCTGATGTTGGATTCGTCGGAAAACACAGTCGGAAATGTAGGCTACACCTAACTATACGGAAAACACAATTCACTGGCGCCTGACTTGTTATACGGATATCCACCTTGATACATGTACACATATTTGAGACAAGTTATACCAGAGGCGTGGCGACCCCTCCCGGCGCCCGGGGACAAACTTTCAATTTGGCGCCCACCCCCATATATTTTTTTATATTTATAATTTAAAACTGCAGCTAAAATGAGCTTTTATGGCGCTCATAGGGTCGGCGCCCGGGGACATATGTACCCTCCGTCCCCCCCCCCCCCAGGCCCCCCCCCCCCTCCGTCGCTACGCCTCTGCGTTATACGGATATCCACCTTGAAACATGTACACATATTTGTGACAAGTTATACGATGGCATCCTTGATTCTTGTACTCATGTGTGTCTCACGTTATACTAATGTCCACCAGTAACGTAGCGATGGGGGTGGGACGGGCCGGGGGGACATATGTCCCCGGGCGCCGACCTTAGGGGGCGCCAAAATAGGTTGGAAAATTAAATTGAAAGGTTGAGGGGGTGCAAATTGAAAGTTTGAGGGAGGGGTGCAAATCGAAATCTTGAGGGGGGGGGGGGGGGTGCAAATCGAAAGTTTGAGGGGGGGGGGTGCAAATCGAAATCTTGAGGGAGGGTGCAAATCGAAAGTTTGAGGGGGGGGGGGGGGGTATAAATCGAAATCTTGAGGGAGGGTGCAAATCGAAAAGTTTGTCCCCGGGCGCCGGGAAGGGTCGCTACGCCTCTGATGTCCACCTTGATTTATGTACACATTAAAATTGTGATGGTCAAAAACTACGCGCAGATTCAACTGATACATTGATATACAAAGACTTTTGATAATGAACTGTATTCTGCAATATTGTACTCGCCTAAATTCTCCATTGTCAAGCGATATTGTATACTCTGATGTTGAGTTCAGCGCTATTAAAATTTTAACTTTCTGATTTCTCCCCTCGTTTTATAAACTGGATTGATTGTCGTTTAAGCTGTTGAAGCATTAGAAAGACAAAAGTTTACAACAAACCACATTTTAAAATGTTGATAAACGGAAACTGCTGTTACATTTTTTAAGATCCTGAATATAATATATCAGCGGAGCGAGGGTCGTGTACATTAGGCCGGGCTGTCTTTCATAGGTTAACTTAACGATAGGTTCATATGATAAATCAACAATGGTACGGCGAGGCATAGCGGTCGAGTGCTAGACTGCTAACCCGATAGTTTCAAGCTCGAATCCGGGTTCAAGTTAGTTTAAAGTCCCTGAGCCCACCCAGCTCTGATGGGTACCTAACTCACCTTAGGGAAAGGAAAGGCGGCTGAACACATAATCCTTTTATTTGCCGAGGTCAAGAAACATATTAACTCCACTTCATCTGCCCAATGGATCGTTAAGTGTAAAGAGGAGTCTTTACTTTTTTTACTATGATAATACAACTACATTGAAGGCCTACTATTATACGGATGTAAATCACACCGGTAAAACAAAGTCTCGCCCTCCACCTCGACCCCCCCCCCCCCCCACACACACACACACACTCGAGTCACCTGTAATAATCTTGCTTTGTTATCCAGCAAGCTTTAGGCTCAGAATTCTACGACACTCTACGTAAACCCTGCTATAAATAGTTCAGCTAATTAACGCAACAAAACACACTGAGGAGAAAATAAACGAAGAAAAATATAAAAGCGCAATAAAAAAAATGAAACTAATTGAATAGAAAAATGTCAGTTGAAATGATTGCTAGCAACGACTTTGTTTTTATTAATATTATTATGTTTGGCGGCAGAATCGTAGATTTGCATTGTACTTTGAATAATGTGTTCAGCTGTTGCCATGGAGACCACGTGATGCAGTTATTAATATTTCAAATTGCAGCACGTAAACACACACACACACGATAAAGGAGAATATATGATTTTTGTCGCTATTTGCAATCAGAATATATTACTTTTGTCGCTATTTACAATGAGAATAAGACTTTTGTCACTATTTTCAAGTAACTAAGAGTATTTCCATGTGGAATGTCGTATTTAAAATACTTTAAATATGGAATGTCGTATTTTAAAACAAATAGCTATGAATAAAAACTGAAATGGAAGTTCCTAGAGAACAAGGAACTTCGGAACTAGAATTTTGAGTCAGCACTTCTTTATGGTGCGGTGCCAAGTCGTGTTAGTACCCTTTCGAACCTTCCGGTCCATGGGGCAGGTGAAGTAGAATTCCCCTGTTTCGGTACCCTCGGCATATGAATACATAGTGTAGTGAGCACTGTGCCCAGCCGCTTTCACTGTCCCTAATGTGAGTCAGGTACACATCGGAGCTAGGGGAACTAGAGTCAGGTACACATCGGAGCTAGGGGAACTAGAGTCAGGTACACATCGGAGCTAGGGGAACTAGAGTCAGGTACACATCGGAGCTAGGGGAACTAGAGTCAGGTACACATCGGAGCTAGGGGAACTAGAGTCAGGTACACATCGGAGCTAGGGGAACTAGAGTCAGGTACACATCGGAGCTAGGGGAACTAGAGTCAGGTACACATCGGAGCTAGGGGAACTAGAGTCAGGTACACATCGGAGCTAGGGGAACTAGAGTCAGGTACACATCGGAGCTAGGGGAACTAGAGTCAGGTACACATCTAGGGGAACTAGAGTCAGGTACACATCGGAGCTGGGGGAACTAGAGTCAGGTACACATCTAGGGGAACTAGAGTCAGGTACACATCGGAGCTAGGGGAACTAGAGTCAGGTACACATCTAGGGGAACTAGAGTCAGGTACACATCGGAGCTAGGGGAACTAGAGTCAGGTACACATCTAGGGGAACTAGAGTCAGGTACACAGCTAGGGGAACTAGAGTCAGGTACACATCTAGGGGAACTAGAGTCAGGTACACATCTAGGGGAACTAGAGTCAGGTACACATCTAGGGGAACTAGAGTCAGGTACACATCTAGGGGAACTAGAGTCAGGTACACATCTAGGGGAACTAGAGTCAGGTACACAGCTAGGGGAACTAGAGTCAGGTACACATCTAGGGGAACTAGAGTCAGGTACACATCAGAACTGAGAGGATTCAGGCACGTCCTACAGGCTCGAGAAGCGAACTCGAGACGTTATCAGTCGTACGCTTTACAATTCACCCACGCCGTCCATACCATTCTTCCATTTGGAAAGAATTGGCTCTGAATTAGAATTACACCAAAATCTTACGGAGATAAATATTTGCAGACGAGGCTACGAGGGTTCCTGTTGGCGCCTATATGATTTGACGTAGCAAGTGATGGTCGCTTGCAACAGGTTTATTTCAGGCCAGTCAGATTTTGGCGTAGAATGAGTGCGTGTATGGTTAACCAAGTTAAAACACAAACAAAACAAGTCCAGTGAAAATACGAATATTTTTATTAGAATCACAATCACAAAAATAGTAATATTCAATGCAATTAAAGTACTTCGGGGGCGTGGTCTGGTGTATGTGACATGTTGGTGTGGTTTGCATGATCAGGGATGTGACCAGACCAGGAAAAAAAATTAGGAAATTTTTTTCGGATAATAACTCAATATGTTTTATCTACTTTTTATCGCGGTTAAGCAGCTTTATACTGTTACTGTACTAATTAATTGTTTAATGAAGTTAATATTTTAAATACAAGAAGTTTATGTTACTCTAAAATAACATTGAAAGTCTAGTCTAATTGCAATTTAATGTTTACCTTATAAACAACTTTTTAAAAATTACAATGTAACAAAAGTAGCAATTAAGTTTTATTTTACCATTAAGCTAATTTAATCTGTACTAATCTAGTGTAGATTCTAGATGTACCCCTGTTTTAAATAGGGGGCCAAAAGCCTAACATATATTCTTTTAAAGATTGGGTTGGTAAAAATATTTGTCTTCAACTGTAAAGACCCTAGATTAAGATTAGTTACAATTTGAAAGTTTTAGGTTCATGTGATGGAAAAATGAAATGGACCAGGTTAGCTAAAATTAGAAAGGGTCTGACGTGTGAACCAATTTCATTATGATAACCAAGCCACATCGATATTTTTGTTTTTTAGGAATAGCTGTAAATTGTTAGGGGTCATCCACGTTTTTTTTGACGATATTTACCTCCCCTCTCTCCTACAAAAGCCAGACTCCCCCCACAGTCTGAACGTATTTTTTCTTCCACAAACAAGACACGGTCGTAGTCACGTTGAGTTTAGTATATTTTTTTTATCTGTAGGCCTACGAAGCATACGTAATTTCAGGAACAGCTATTAGAAATTGACTGTGACGTCATTTTTTTTCCACAAGCAGTACCGAAAACGTACTTGGGGTCAAGGTGAGGTCACAAGAGCCACCGTTGCTACGAGGCGGGGCGGGTTAGTCTAGTCCTCATAGTCACCTTTTGCAAGGATTTCAATATTAATTTGAGATTGCGAAATAAAATAGAATCAGAGAGAAACTGTAGATTTAGGCGGGTTAAAATACCGATAGGTAAATTAGGCTATATCGATAGCTAGATTACCAGGCTTAAGAGATGTAAGTTTTAATTAAATAACTGCATTATTTTAGATTACCTTTTCCGTGTTTTTGTTAAATAGTTAACTGAAAATATCAGCGGAAAATTTGGGCTAAAAAAAGTGTGCTTTGAAAAAATCGACCAATCGAAAAGAAATGCGCATATTCGCGTGTCCGTTTGACCTAAGTACAGTAGTTGTCGATTTAAATTTAAATACGAATAAGTGGAATGAGCATGTCGGCCCTTTCCGTAGAAGACATTTCCGTTTTTTTTTTCCTAATTTTTAAAGTTTCGTAAAAAATCGATAAAAATTGAAACTCGGCGGAAAAATTCGGCGAAAATCAAATCAGCGGAGGAAAATCGCAACTGAAACGGAAAAATCGGATTTCCGCTAAAATTCGGAAAAGTCACATCCCTGCATGATATAGAATGTGGTACATTCTAAATGAATTGTGGTCTGCGTGTTTTTGTGTGTGTTGTAGTCTGTATGTTCTTGTATAAGTTCTTGTATGTTGTGGTCTGTTTGAATGGTGGTCTATGTGGTCTTGTTTGGTTTGTGGTGTACATGTTCTTTGTGGTCTGTATATTCCTGTCAGAATCGTGGTCAATAAAAAAAATGGTATACCAGTGCATAAAGAACTGATACTATAATGTGTCTATGACTATTCTAGTACAAATCATTACCTGTGTAATTATTTCAACTACCGGTAACAACTTTATATATAGGCTATATTTAACCTCAAATTTCCCACTCACAGATTAGTTTTAATCCGTAGTGGTGGATTAGAATTGAATGTGGATTACAAATGGATGACCTCAGATCACGGAGCTTGGTGTGTTGAGGTACATACATCGACAAGTTTACAAAGGGAAAGAACAAGTTGTTTACATTGCTCGTTCGATTCTTCTTTACAGTGGCTTGTAAAACACGTCACTATGTGGTCATTGTATATCATGATCACTACACGTGATCATTGGGGGCCAGTGTATGCCTCTACACGAGACCCCTGTATGCCTCTACATAAGTGACCACTGTATGCCTCTACAGAAGTGACCACTGTATGCCTCTACATAAGTGACCACTGTATGCCTCTATAGAAGTGACCACTGTATGCCTCTATAGAAGTGACCACTGTATGCCTCTATAGAAGTGACCACTGTATGCCTCTACACAAATCACCTACTCAAGCCACGATTTGTCCAAGCCCCATTGAATCACGTGACCTCACGATACAAATCAACCATTATCTTCTGGTTTACCAACTAACTACAAATAAAATAATACTTCTAAACATCCATCGTTTAATACATCAATCATTACACCGAGCCAGAGGAAATTCCCGGATATATCGGGGTCATTTCCGGTGCGCGATATTTCAAAAGATGTCAACAGGAAAATGAAATCTTTTTTTTTTTTTTTACATTTTTTTTTTTACAAAGAAAAAAAGTAAACTATACAAACAGTGATTAAACTATATATAACCACTGATTGCTCTACACAGGCATTGATTGAAATTAGACTCAATCGTTAATTTTATCCCCAGGGGTGAAAAGCTTTTAAAAAACATTGAAAAAAAAAACCTTTTAAAAGAAATAAATCAAGATTTGCAGAGAATACAAAAATTGCAATCAATAGATTGAATTTAAATTGACAAAAATGGAACCAACCTGCAGTTTGTCATCAAAATTAATTAAATGTGTAATATCTATCTAAGCTGGGGTACAAGAAAATATTTTATATTCTAAAACTTGAATTCCTTCTTAAACAAAAAAATTTCATTTTATGACATTCTTTTTTTTTTCAAAGGTAGACTTGTGCTTTTTTAAAAAACAGTTTTAATGAAATATATTTTTTTTTTAAAATATTGATCATTACAATTCTTAAGACTTGTGAATGTTTATTTTTAAACTTAAGAACCTATGTTTCTCAACAGTGTTGCAAATATTATGCACAAAGGTAACGGAGAAAGTATTTCAGAACTGGTGTCACTGATGTGTCTTTGTATCGACATCTCATGTCATCATAGCAGGCTTCCATTAATAGCATAAGGAATGATTTTAACAAGGCCAATGTACAGGTAGAAATAGGTGTTATAACTCTACAAAAACCAACCCTACAATTTCTAAAAAAAAAAAAAACATTGTTTTTTTTCAATAATTTCATGTATATAATTTTTTTAGAGATTTAACTGAAAAAATTCAAGTACAATGTATGTAGGGGATTTGTGTATCATCACATCCACTGAACAGTAGCACAAATTTAAACAACCTTAAACCAATGCCAATGGAAGCTGTGAAGTCAGTGAAGAAAAAATATATTTTAAAATGGGGAATTCCCTAACTTTTAAGGGAATTTCCCATTTTAAAATGAACAGTAACAAAAATGTACCAAGAGCTACTGGTAAGCCACTCAAGTTTGTATGGTTTGTCTCAAATATCTTTACAGTAAAGCAATGTCAACAACTTTCAACAAGGATTCAACAACAACAAATGTTACTCAAACTTTGTACAGATAAATTTTTATTACTTCTTTGAAAGACTAAGTATTCCAATTTTGTTTTTGCACAATTTGTAACAATAAAAGGGTAGTGGGGGTGTGGGGTAGAGGCAATCAATTTCATCTTGATTGTAATACTTTAGATTTAGGCAATCAATATCTTCTCATTATAACAGACTGGTTTAGCCAATCAAAATCTGATTTCACAGATTCCGGCGGTTAATATCTTCTGATTTTTAACACTTTTGGTAGATGTATATTTTCCATCAAAGGCTAACAAAAGCTTACGTTTCTAGCTTGTTAAATTGTTTTCTCAGATTCAATAGGTTAATATTATTTGGACTGACTCTGGATAACTATTATATGGAAAAGTAGTTTAAACTTTAAACTGCATTATCTTAGGTTTGAAAACAGCTTTTATGCAGCATTGAATTTTCTCTAAAATCTAATTTTGATGTGATTTGCATCTTTTGAGCTAAGATAGAAGAAAATAGAATGACAGCCTGCTGTCAAACATAGGCTGCTGACAGACATAATTTAAACTCACTTAGCAACTTATGAGGGCTAACGTACTCTTAATGTGGCTCCTAACTTGGATGAGTCTGTGAAACACTCAGCCTATGTGTTTTCAAGCAGAAGGCCGACGTCTTTCAGATAGTTAGTGAATTATTTCTGGTAGTTGGTAAATTATTTCTAGTTCTGGTAATTGGTAGACTACGTGTCATAAATGTTAAATTACATTCATATTTGCTAAACTATTTCTGGCTATATAAAACATGTATTCCTGATTAGATCTCAACAATAAAAAAAAAGATTTTGGAATATAACTGTTCTGACAACAAAGGTTTCTTTCCTGTCATTTAGTTTTAAAAAGATTTAAGTGCACTATCTTAAATGTACAGTGATGAAGAGATACTATTTAAAAAAATATTTGACCATTTGAATATCTTGCGCGTGTAACTTAACATTCAAACTGAAAGACTGTTGACACTGCTAGAAAATACAAAAATATTCCTGCTAAATCATTATTAGACATCAACACATATTTTTACAATTATCTTAGATAGTGGTTTAAAATATACTTTTTTTTATCTTAAATAAAACAGAACAGAAATGCGAATGTTTTTGCCCACATTTACTTGCCTGTGGTTTAACAATACTCAAATTTTTCTTTCTTAAGAAGGTGAAATAAAATAATTTCCAATACAATTTCTTGAAAAAAGACAAAGTAAATTTGGTATTAAATTTAATTTAAATGAAATATTTGAAACCTATGCAGGATTCAAGCTATAATAACATGTCGAGTCAATGCAAAGCTGGCTTGGGAGTTAATCCATATATATACACAAAGATTTTCTTGCAATGAAGGCAATTTGTAGATAATCTAAAGTTGCTAAAAAATGTAATAGAAAAAAGATGATATTGCAGGAGAAAACATTTTTGTAAGGTAATATTTTTTTTAAACCAGAACAAAGTAAACGAAAAGCATTGGCTCGGTAGGAACATAGCACTTTCACGTATGGCAGTGGGCAACACGCATTGAAAACATCAGGGGGCGGGGCACAGAAAATACATGCACAGCTGAGATCCACAAAAATAAATAAATGGAACTGTGGTTTTAGTCGACTGGTCATGGTCTGATTGGTTCCTGGGTCAAGGGATGGGTTTGATGAACTGTCAATCAAGCTTTAAGAACGGCCTTCAGTACTTGAAGATAATTATGTTAAATCAAGAAGCTGATTAAAACAGTGATGAGTTCTTCACATCCTAGATAACTAGAACAGACGTTGCTTCACATCAAAAGACATGAGTTGATGAAGTCTTAACATCAAAGATGTAATAAGTGATAGTCTTCAAAAAAAAAGATGAATAGGTGAGTCTTCACATCAAAGATGACATGAATGGATGAAGTCTTCACATCAAAGATGACATGAACGGATGAAGTCTTCACATCAAAGATGACATGAGTAACAGTGCAGGTTGTAGTGCTGGAACAGTGGATGATCCAATCCGGTGAAAACGTAATCCTGCGATGGAAGGATCAAAACTTGTCACTTGTGCAAAAAGCATCACGGACAGTGCCAGAAAATAATCCAAAATAATCCACAACATAAACGGGAACGTACATATCCAAGATTTTCTGTTACATTTAGTGTGGCCTGGAGTGAGTTGAACATATCCATGTTGGGAAAATCTCTCACGATCACAATCTTTCTCCATAATGGGAAATCTCTCACGATCACAATCTTTCTCCAACTTTTAATCAAGAGCAAAAAAGAAACAAATGATTGGTGCTGATTTTTTCTATCAGATTGCACATGGTAACTCAAGTAAAAAGTTGAATATTTCTTGACTCCGAGACTTGCTGGTTCTGTTGGGTGCCGAGACGGGAGACCAGGGGTGGGGTGGTCAGATGTTTCAGCCCGTCCGAGCTGTCTGCATTTCCTTGAAGAACCCCTGCCCAGAAGCACTTTCAACAAATGTGACCTTCACCTGGTGGCAGTTGACATCTGTGATTGTGATATTCTGAGCTGCGTCGAGTGTGTTTCGACGTTTGGCATGATGGAGTTTTTTGTGGTGGTATTGGTCCACGTTGGCGTACGGCTGCTGACTGCCGCCAGGGTGGCACTGCGACATTTCAGACTGTTGGCATTCAAGATCTTCCTTCAGGATTTGAGCTTCCAGACGTTCCCGTTCCTTGTTGACTTGGTTCTGGTAATTTGTGCCGAAGTTCCAGTCATCCTCGTCGTCTTCGTTGGACAATCTCCTGGAGAGTGGGTTGTTGGAGGAACTGTTGCTGGTGGTAGTGGTGCTGTGGGCGCTCAGGTCGTACGCTGTTGTCTGGTCTGCGCCTGAGTAGATGTTGTTGTTGCTACTCTTGATGGTGTTGTTGTTGAATTGGTGCTCTTTTTTCTCAGAGAGGATGTCGTTGCAGGGGCTGAGTTCTCGGTCGACGTAATCAATGTCTGACCGCACTCTGTGCACCCTCAGGACATTAGGCTCTCCCGGGGAGGAGGTGAGGGTGGGGGAGTACTTCACTTCCCAGCACTCCGAGCTGGACCATTTGTCCTCATCTTCTTCATCATCATCTTCAACGTCATCATCATCCTCCTCCTCTTCCTCCCTTTTCTCATTCTCCTCCTTTATCATACACAACTCTTTCCTGGACTTCTTGGACTTACTCCGCTCGGACTTGTCCTTGGCGTCACTACCCCCTCGGGAGCGACTGCTGTGCTGTTTCTGTTTGACCTTTCTCTGTTTGATGGCCCGTGGGGGGCTGCCCCACAGCAGGGGTAGCCTGTCCGAGGGCAGGTACGGCCACAGGTTTTCCTGCGACTGTACCCGCTTCTTGGTGGGTGGGCTGATGACAAGCTCCTCCTGCTCGCTCTCAGCTGTGTCACTCAACTGCTCGGCGCTGGCCAAACGCTGCAGACAAACAAAATGGAAACTTAGTACTTGTGTTTGCTAGTGGTGGGTGAACATTGTGAACTAACATCTGATGAAACATTAAATATGTATGGGAGGGGGCTGTACAATGCTGACATAAGGGCTGTTGGGCAGGTGACATAAAGTGTTGGATATTTAGTTTGTTGCGTTTTCCCCCCTGATGTTGTAAACTGGACTTAACTATCATTTTGATTGTCCAGCTAATACAAACGTATGAGACTCAATTCTAACAACATGAGCACTTCGTTTAAACGTCACTCCTAAATAACCTTTTAGATACCTCCTCAACACATGCTCTATGAAATCGTTGAAAGCTATTCTATGTGTTTCAGAAAAAACGTCAAGACGATTCAATGACATTTTTATGTTTATTTTGAAGTCATTGATAACCTTAAGAAAGTTAGCGTCATAATGTTAGCGTCATAATGTTAGCGTCATAATGTTAGCGTCATAACGCTGGTTAGCGTGGCTACCACGCCAGTGTCAGCATGCCTTTACTCCCCCCCCCTCCCCCTCCCCCATAGAACCAAGATTTGCGTGCCCTTTCATGTTAGCGTTGCTTTTTAAAAAAAATTTCCCACTGGTAGAGGCTTGTCAAAATGTCAACAATCAAAAGACGACTTAAATTTTTTTTACTTTTAAAATCAAAACACGCCGCTTTCTATTCTCGGGGCAGTGGTGTGTACTGGAGTGGGGTATTATGGCGGGCCCGCTGGAAGAAAAGAAAAGCTCGGCTGAAAAAGTTTCCGCAGAAAACCCGAGACTATAAAAAGTGACAACAATTGAACAAGGGGCGAAATTAGGTCAAGATTGGCGGCGTCCCATTAAAGGAAAAATTAAAGAAAGTTTTTAAGACGTGACATAATTTTTTACTGATCTCTGTGAGGAAGGGGGAGGGGTGTTGACATTACACAGGAAACAGGTGAAGGAAAACTGAAGATAAAAACAGCTAAGTGGTTACAGTCGCTGTGGGTGAGGGGTGGGGTAGGGGTGGTGGTGTTGAGATGAGGCCGTTTGGAGTTTAGAAAAGTGGTGAAGGTCGTCATACAGTGGTGTTGTTCACGCTGCCAGTGTTTCCTGTGGGGCAGGTACGGCTGAGGGTAACGTTAACTCTACGCGGACACTTGGTGACGTCGCAGTCTTCTGCTCGCTTAGTACTTGGGGGAGGGGGTAGGTCTAAACAGATCTAGGGCATGCGGGTACGTCGAACAGACGTGAAAATCCGGAAGTGAGACATTGATTGATTGATTGGTTCCAGTCTCGACTTGCTACGCTTCAACACGTTAGGACAGGGTTAGGGTTCGATCCCACCACGCCGCCGGCCAGACAAGACTCAACCGGCCCTAACCCTAACCTTCGCTAGGTCCTAACCTACTTTTTAACCTTCGCTTGGACCTAACCAACTTTTTAACCTTTGCTACGTACAAGCCTACTTTTTAACCTTATTTACTCATGAATCAATGTCAGCTTACCAATTATCTACCAAGGCCATTGAACATTTGGTTTGTACAAATTACCAAGACATTATCTGGAAACATCTCAAACTTGCATCAATAGGAAACCAGCCACAATCGTCTGTACGCCTTCTGTGGCCCAAGTTCTCGACATGTGTGTACTTTTTGTTTCGTTACTGGACTAGATTTGTTGTTCGGAAACCAATAGGTCTAGTTTCAAATGTAGGGCCATTGTTTAGGGACACAGTAAACGTTAAAAGTTGATGTAGAAATGTCTAATTCTGTGGGACTTGTTCGTAGTCTAATCTAAGCGTGCTATTTATAGCAAAAGATATTTGTGGTGGGATCGCCAAGAGAACTTTGGTACATTTAAGTCAATGCGGCTGAGATTTCGACGCCGCCAAATCTATTTTTAACCCATCAGAGGACCGAGTGCATGCCATCGTTTGCAGAAGTATGGGCTATGTTTAGAATGACATGCGATATTGCCCAGATTGGCGAACATGTTTTTTTAGACGGGCTATACTCAGCCTGGGTCATACACCAAAGTGCAACGGGGGAGATGGTCTAAGAATAGAAGTCTGGACAACCAATCACAGTGGTCAGCCCTGTTGATACATCGGCTAGACGTGGCCAAACTGATTACATGTCGCGGGTTCGAACCTGGGCGAGGCGTGTATGCTCATCACGAGCACACTTAAAACTTTATTAAAGTACATTACTAACTTAAACGTAATCAGTTATAAACCATAATTTAACTTAATTAAACCATTTTACCTAAAGCATACGGATTTTAAAATTTCACTTATTTACTGAAGTATCAAATAAACAAGTGAACGACAACTCGCTGCTAGAGGGAAGCAATCCAAATAAGATATGTTATTTTTTCGTGACTGAAATGACGGTCTGCGACCTGAAATGTGCTATCAGTGATAAGCTTCAGAAAGTGATGATAACATTTTCCCAAACACGTTCAGTCATTTATTTTTATAGCCTGTTTATCTAGGCATGTAGTATAGATCTAGAACACTTGGGTCTAGCCGAGTTCTTGCCCTTGTTTACAAATACTGGCTGATCTGTAGCGAGGGGAGGGTAAACATTTTGTGTTGAAATAACCGGGAGATAATCTTACGTTAGGGGAGGGAAGGGGAGAGGATGGGTTGGAGTTGAGCACTGAGTACTTCGGGGGGGGGGGGGGGGGGGGGCCTCAGTAGGCACTTGTGGTGGGGGTGGGCACTGAGCACATGGGAGGGGGTGGGGGCGCAGTAAGCACTTTTGAGGGGCAGTAGGCACTGAACCATATACACCAAAACCACTGACCCATGTACACCTGAACCACTGACCCGTGTACACCTGAACCACTGACCCGTGTACACCTGAATCACTGACCCGTGTACACCTGAACCACTGACCCCTGTACACCTGAACCACTGACCCGTGTACACCTGAACCACTGACCCCTGAACCACTGACCCCCGTACACCTATACACCAGCACCAAGATAACAGCCGTTACCTGTGAGGCTATCAAAACTCTAACAGCAAGGACATACTCAACTACGTCACTAATTGAATCAACTAATTACGACCCGAGATAGATAATTAAACCCCGCTGAGAATATGGATTCCTTTTGTTAGTCTGGTTCATCAGGTAGGGGTCATTGGGTGCAGTGTTAAGATGCTTTCTCTACACGAGCAGGTCAATAAAGGGCTTGTAATTTGCGTCTATTTATATCCGAATTTAAACACAAAATTAATTTAAATTTCAATGGAAACGTCGTGACCTAATGAAGCGTGACTTCTACATCAACACAAACATTCGAGTTACGACAATTGAAGAGCGGCAAACAAAGTTCAGCCCGGGTTGTTATAAGGTCAAGGCCGGGTCAAGAGAATTAAAAGTTAGTTTCCTGTCTTAAAACGCATTGTTAAGTTGTTTACGTCGGAAGACAATCTTTTCTTCAAGTATTTTTTTTTAAATTTCTTATTTAGCCAATTGCAGAAGGCGTTTTTGTTTTGTTTTTGTCAGGATGTTGGTGCACTTAAAAATGTAGAGCTGAGCGTGAGAGAGGCACTTAATGGAGTGTACGTGTTGTTTTAGTTCGTGAGTGAGTGCATCTTACACGTGCATGGACATGCTGAAGTTTAGGCGGGAAGAAAGCGGAAACAGCAAGTACAAATACGGTGAGGTTTGACCGGTGGTGTGGCTAGCTGAATAGTTGAGTTAGTGTGGCTAGCTGGATAGCTAAGTTAGTGTGGCTAGCTGAGTTAGTGTGGCTAGCTGAGTTAGTGTGGCCAGCTGAGTTAGTGTGGCCAGCTGAGTTAGTGTGGCTAGCTGAGTTAGTGTGGCTAGCTGAATAGTTGAGTTAGTGTCGCTAGCTGGATAGCTGAGTTAGTGTGGTTAGCTGAATAGTTAAGTTAGTGTGGCTAGCTGAATAGTTGGATGGACAGTTAGGTTAGTGTGGCTAGCTGAATAGTTGGATGGACAGTTAAGTTAGCGAGGCTAGCTGAATAGTTGGATGGACAGTTAAGTTAGTGTGGCTAGCTAGACAGATGAGTTAGTGTGACTGACGTAGTTAGTGTACAGTAATTCTCTTATTTCCTGCGTATTGTTTGAATATCTTCTGCTAGACGTGAGTGGAAAAAATATCTTCTGCTAGACGTGAGTAGATAGAAGGTCATGGACACCTGGGGTTAAGGACACAAGGTAACTAACTAGATGTAAACAAGACTCACCAGTTTCCTCTTCTTCCTCAGCATCCTCTGTTTCTTCCTCCACTCCTCCCTCCTGCAAAGACAGAAGAAAAAACAACACTTAACAACAAGTTTGTTGTTACCTTTCTAGCACATTATTCATCGTTACTCACTCCTAGCTGATAGCTATTATGACGTAATAATTCCACCGGGAACTATGACGTGTGAAACATCACACCTTAGGGGTACCTCATGCTTGGATTACATAACCTTAGTGTTAACAGCATGTAGCAGCTACTAGACCTTAATGGTAAGTTGCCATTATCAGTGATTAGACCCTAATGACCTAATGTTACCAGTTGCCAATACCAGGAGCTAGACCTTGATGGTACCAAAGTATCAGCTACTAGACCTTGATGGTACCAAAGTATCAGCTACTAGACCTTGATGGTACCAAAGTATCAGTTACTAGACCTTAATGGTACCAAAATATCAGCTAATAGACCTTGATGGTACCAAAGTATCAGTTACTAGACCTTGATGGTACCAAAGTATCAGTTACTAGACCTTGATGGTTCCAAAGTATCAGCTACTAGACCTTGATGGTACCAAAGTATCAGCTACTAGACCTTAATGGTACCAAAGTATCAGTTACTAGACCTTAATGGTACCAAAGTATCAGCTACTAGACCTTAATGGTACCTGGGTATCAGCTACTAGACCTTGATGGTACGAAAGTATCAGCTACTAGACCTTGATGTTACCAAAGTATCAGCTACTAGACCTTAATGGTACCAAAGTATCAGTTACTAGACCTTAATGGTACCAAAGTATCAGCTACTAGACCTTGATGGTACCAGGTTATCAGTTACTAGACCTTAATGGTACCAAAGTATCAGTTACTAGACCTTGATGGTACCAAAGTATCAGCTACTAGACCTTCACAGTGCCAGGTTATCAGTTACTAGACCGTGGTGTTAAGCTACCAGTTACATGGAATTCCCGCCCGCCCCTCCGTGGGAATATGCCGCTGTGTTGTGTAGTCTCCCCGGAGTATACACCGTGATTTCTGTCTACGCGCGTTTAATTGTCTAAACAATAGACGAGGCATGCTGGGAGTTTGCTCAGGGACCGGTTAGAGCTGGTTAGGAGTGTTTAATTAGGTCGGCCTGGGGTGTGGCACTAGGGCACATGTTCTCACACGAGTAAGGGGTGGTTCTAGAATGGGCTAAAGGAGTGGCACTAGGGAAAGTTAACCCGGTGCTGATTTAGCAATGTTCATTACAAAACACTGTTTTTATTTGGTGGTACCCCCCCCCCCATAAGCCAAGGGGGTGACAGGTCAGCAGCCTGAGGGGACGGGGTTGATTCGGCTCAGGAGCCTGAGGGGACGGGGTTGATTCGGCTCAGGAGCCTGAGGGGACGGGGTTGATTCGGCTCAGCAGCCTGAGGGGATGGGGTTGATTCGGCTCAGAAGCCTCCAGGCGGTGATCCGAAAGTTGATCGGTTCGTAATGTTCCGTCAACAGGCTGACACATACACAAACACACGTGCGTACACACACCGACCCACATCACCGAGACCCCTGGGTCAGCTTTACATCTACCTCATGTCCCACAAACTTCCACCGACAATACTGACATCCACACACGAACATTAACTAGATAGTGCAGCCCCCCCCCTCCCCCACTGCAGGAGCTTATAGCAAAGGTCGCGACGACCCACCAGCATGTTTCCCACGCAGCGTGTAACACAATCCCAAAAATATTCGACGAAAAAAAAATTGTTTGTTGTAGGATAACTTCCGTTTATTGTTGCGATAAGTGTCCAGATTTAGCAGGCAAAGCATGCCAAATTGCATGCTGTCGTTTTTCTCTATATTACAGCTCTGCTTGACTGCTGTTTTTTGCCGATGTTTGGGTCTAGTGTAAACAAGCGAAGACCTTGTTTGTTTTCTGGGTTGAAAGCAGTGCGGGTCTGGTTTTTTAGGGTTCATAAACCACCTATCTGAAGCGGCAGTAAAAAAAAAACCTGTTGCAATTATATAATAGAAAAAAGTGTTTACAAGTATAAGTGTGTCGTAACCCACCATGTATTATGCGGCATTATTGCCACTTCAGCCACATGCGGAGGAATGTATCCAATAAATGTAACCGCTGGTTCATATTTCGCTACAAAATAGCGGGGCACTTAAAATCCCCCCAACAAGCACAAATTAGTAATACCACACCCCCCAGCACCCGGTCCCTGCCGGTTTGGGTAGCATGGTGAGGTTACATCAATGTGAGACTGCAGTAAACAAACTAGACGGGCTAGGCTAGAGCACGTGATGACGCTCACGTAACCCCGGACCACGTGACCTGGCCATTTAAATAACCCGGGTACCTTGTTTATCCGGTGGTCGGCTTAGGTGCAGACAACCCGGCTATTGACATTTTTGTCCGGGTTCTTGCATCCGGTTCTTGGTACAATAAGTCCACTAATAGGACATTCTAATATAGCGTGTATTCTCATAATGCGTACGTTCTTATACAGCATGTATTCTCACCCGGTGCGAATTTTCATACAGCGTAGATTCTCATCCAGGGTTTATTCTCAAATAGCGCATTTTTATCACATTTTCGCTGAGATATCGCTATACTAACACACGCATTTCGTTAATGGAAAGGGGTGAGTTGATCTGCTGGGTAGGTGCAAAGTGTTCGTGTGTAAACCGATATAAAAAGCCTTGATGGTTTTAACTTCTGACTTTTAGAATTGTTAGCGAGTGTATTGATTCCACACTAATTAGTACTCATTAAACCCACACGCGAGGGGAATTATTTGGCAAGCATTAGTATACCATTTTTTCTACACTGGTAGGGTTAGTTGTAACTGATCTAAACTTTTGCTTCTAATTGGTGAGTTAGTGGCAACATGTTAGTATAGCTCACTCACTCACTCACTCACTCACCACGTGTAGCCAAGAAGAACAAAAAAAAACTTTTAAATTAAAAGACGATTTTTTTTTTCAAATAAAAAAACGTCTAAGGGAGATCAGCGTTGTGAGGTTTAGCAGTGTGACTGTACTCCCTTTACCGGATGTTGCGCACATGATGTCTAAATAAATTATTGCATTTTTGGGAGTTGAAGGAGTGGTCATATCTAGGTCAGCCAAAAATTCCACACTGTTTTCGACTCAGAAAACCAACAACCTTATTGTAGCACTCGAATCTCGATTTGACTCAACATTTTGGTCTATTTACCACGTCTATGTGTGTTAACACCTAAACGACCCCCCCCCCCTCTCCCCCACCCCATCAACAGTACCTTGACGTGTGTACTGACATAACCAACCCGGTACTTAGTCTAATTTTACCCTGAGGTAACCAGGTCAACGACCTGAGTTGTTTACCAGTAGTTTATCGATCGCATCCGTTTCGGAGTTTTTTAAGCTAAATAAAGAATGAGTGAAGATAGTCAAGGGGCGTAACTGGACTTTTAAGGGAAATATTGACATTTCGACAAAAACAGATTGATAAGCGTTTAACCTTCAATTGAGAAGAAAATCAAGCGTTTAACTTTTAGTATTCAGTAAAAAAGAATTCAGTAATAGGTAGTATACTCGTTTTTGTAAATTACTGGATAATTTTTAGAGCAGCGATTAAATATTGAAGCACCATTTAAACCAGGGGAAGCAATTTGACCATGGGCAACAATCAAACATGTAGGCATTATTTTCAGCTCGGGGCAACATTTTAAACAAGAGGGAACAATTAAACCGCCATCCCATCCATACTTCAGCAAGTATGAACACACTACACATTTCAAATCGAAGTTTCAGATTGTCTACAAAACCATCTTACTGATTGGTTAATTTCTTTTCTTAACTCAACCCCCATTAGTCGCTGAAATAATTGCTCCGCCATGTTGCCTATGTAGGCCGTCAAGTAATGTCTGTAATTGTGTAATCATTACAGCTGCGTCATTACAGAGCAATTAGGTGCTGCGTGCTATAAATTAAAACAACCTTGTCGGAAAAGATCAACTGAGATTGTAATGGGCACAGGGTCAAGTGACGTCACTGTATTGGGTACAGAGTCACGTGACGTCATGGCTTTTAAAACAAGAAATAAATAAATATAGATCTAGTAGGAAGCGTTCGGGTTCTAAACCACGGCTCCGTTTAAAACTACCCCCAGTCTACTCAGTCGGTATTTGTTCGTATTGTCGTGAATTTGAATATGGTCGACTCTACTCCCCCTGCTCCACAGACTACCGTATCTTGAAAGTAAAATGCAATTATTGTAATTTTATCGTCAGTTAATCACAAGATTCTGGTTACAATGTTAACCTCCCACTTTCTCCCTTGATGGGAGGGAACTGTCAAGATAAAGTCGACAACAGCAGTTGTTGCCCCTGCTATCTTAATGAAATTACTCTGTTATGACTGTCGTGGGCAGGGTGTGGGTGGGAGTAATGAGTTAATATAATTAATAATTTATATAATTAGTGCAGGTAGTAGCCCAGTCCCTACTGTAGTTGGTGCTTTAATTGGTGTTGGGTGTCTTAATGTATACAAAGTAGTATTGAGAAGGTGGGGTGGGGGCGGATTAATTACGTGAGCTAATTAACTTTAATACTGCAGTCATAAAAGATATAACACAGTCATGCGTCAGACAGTTAAGTCATCTAGTAAACATTACAGTCACGCAGACGACAAAGTCATGAAGCTGGCATGAAAAGTCATGTGGCACACAATAAGTCATGTAACAAATATAAGTCATACACCATTCAACGTTTATAATGTAACAGGCATGAAAAGTCATATACCACATGTCGTTAAGCACCCATGAAATGCCATATAACACGTCATAAAGCACCCATGAAACGTCATATAACACATGTCATTAGCACCCATGAAATGTCATATAACACAAGTCATAAAGCACACATGAAATGTCATATAACACGTCATAAAACACCCATGAAATGTCATATAACACAAGTCATAAAGCACCCATGAAATGTCATATAACACAGGTCATAAAGCACCCATGAAATGCCATATAACACGTCATACAGCACCCATGAAATGTCATATAACACATGTCA